AATTCCTTTCTCAACTGTACGTAAAATAGTCAAAAACAAACTTGATGAACACAAGAAGCGATGTGATACAGGATGACCAAAACCTTTAGATGTTCATCTAATAAAATCATTGAAAAAAGCAATATACGACTGTTACAAAAGCAATGAGATTCCTATAACTGAAATCATAAGAAAGAAATTGAATACTTCTGGCCATAACGTGAGCTGCTGTGACAAAACTCTTTAGAATTGGATAAAGAAACTAGGATTTAGATTTAAAATAATAAACAAACGCCAAGCAGTTATAAAAAGCAGAAGAATAGTGGAATTGCGTAACAAAATCTTAGAACAAATAACTAAATATAGACGAGAACAACGGCAAATTTTCTATTTGGACGAAACTTGGTATGACACTCACGACACAGTTACGAAAGGGTGGACTGATGGTTCGAGAATGTGTACGCCTACCATGCCTGCAAACAAAGGATCGCGACTAATCATTCTGCATTGCGGAGGAGGTAAAGGATGGGTTCCGAATTCTTTGAAACTATGTGGAAAAAACTTGAGCACTGCAATGTTAACTATCATAAGAATATGGAAGCTAATATTTTCGAGTAATAGTTTGAAAACACATTGATCCCGAATTTGGATGCGAATAGTGTAATAGTTCTTGACAACGCTTCCGTCTGAACGCTTTGACATCTGAAACTTTTATATGAAACATTTTTTGATCAGTCCACACCTTTACCTCAAAATTCTAGTGGAAAGTTCATGTAACATGCTTCGACTGTGTATTTGGTGAAGATACTACATCCGAACTTTCATACAAATACTCCTTTAGGTTTTTTTGGACATTTTCTGAGGAACTTCGTCCTGCTGAGATAAATCGTTGTGAAATATCGGGGCTACCTACTTGTTAAAAAGAATTAAGTTGTCTTAGTTTCTGTCGGGGATGAAAAATTGTATACTTTTCATCCAAATCCATGAGTTTTATGATTTATAGTATTGCATTTATATCACATATCAATTTATACATATCTATAGAATCGTTTAGTTCAACTTGTGGTAATGAAGCACCAGAAAAGACTATTTGTAACTGGTTTGTAGAGTGAAGATCAGCCTGTAATAAACCATAAGATAAAAGCATTCTTTTACATACCATAGATTTTGCATAAACATTTGAATGTGAAAAGTAGGCTCGTTTGAATTGGTATGAGGAAATGCTCAAAAAATTCAACTTTGGAACTGCAACATCTATATACTTAAAACATTCTTAAACGTGAAGAAATGTAGATATATTCATAAGAACCGGTTGGTACCTATATTTTCATTCAAAGGATCATCTTCAGTTCTCTTTCAAGTCAAGATCATTTTGTTTGGTTTTACAGGCAATTTTCAATGCAATGTGAGATCAATTAAATTGTCAAATTCACTGAAATGAATTAATGATTGCTTCATCTTTTTGAAAGACAAAGTAACTTATTTGCTATACTAGGTCCACACAGGTGTGACTTAAGTAAACCAAATTATTGTACCAAAAGAGGTTACACCTAAATGAAAATTATTTGAATTGGGTAGTACTCATCAATTATCAGTATTGAATCTTTAGGACGAAAATATGTGCCAAAATGTACTTGCAACAAAGATAAATCATTTAAAAAAATAAATAAAATAAAAAAAATCACTTAAAAATTAATATAGAGGCTATTTAATGGTTTCGAACGCCGAGACCGGTCAGTTTAGTTCAAGATACTGAACTGATAGAAAGCAAAGTAAACCAAGGAAATAATTGACATATTTGGTGATTTAAAAAAAATACAATTATCAAACAACCAAGCAGTCAAACAATATGTTCATATCCTTCTATAACTTTCCTATAGATATGTAGTTAACAATGGGATTATAGTATTGTTTTCAGCATCATGGTACTGAACGGGATAGTTTTTTGATGAGGTAACTTTCTGAGTGTTCAGTAGTGCATTGCAATTGATATTATTATTTTGAGAAGGATTAGGAAGAGCAACTAACTGAACTGTTCCAGAACTCCAGTTTTTGACCTATTATATGGCATCAAGTAAGAAAGAGGAAAACAAGATGTAAACGTCTATTCTGTATTGAAAAGTGTTTCATTGAATTATAGTTCGTTCGAGTTATTTAAAAAAGCATGTTGATACTGATAGTGTTGAAGCTTTTTACGGGTTTCATCTGCAAGTTTTTATGCCTGACGTTCAATCCACGACCGAGATAGACATTATCAAAGGCGATGATGCAACAAAGTGACCTAAACTATATACCAAGGCCGCAATCAGGACAAAAATTGGAATACCAATTGGAATTAGAATGTATTCAAATTAAGAATTTTTGAAATATTTAAAATATTGCATTTTTACCACCTTAATTTCATCGGAAATTTGAAAAAAATATATTAAACATATACAATACACATATACAATACAAGATGACGCAAAAGTACATATAAAAATAATCTGATGGTATAAAATAAAAAAATTTAAATCAAGATGTTTGTCAGGAACTTATTAAGTATGTTTATAAAAATTGTAAATACTACTAAGTGCAGTACACTGTCTTTAAACAGTTTTAAAGTCTCTATGACATATAAATGTGTCGTTATGGTTTTATTTAATTCCTTGGGTTAAAAGGTAATGATTTAGTCATTGACAAATAAATAACAAAAAGGAATTTTTAATCTTAGAAGTGAAATAAATACAAATGTAATGGAAAAAAGTGTTTTTTGCATAATTCATTGTTCATATAAAAGTATTTGTTTCAAAAGTATTTTTCTTTCGTGTAATTCAATGTTTATATGAAAATAGCTGTTTCGAGAGGGCTTTTTTCTAGTTTGTGTCTGAAAGTTACTTCTTTGCATGATCTAGAGTAAATTTTTTGAAAATGAATCTTTTTTTTTTCTTTGGAAGATTCCCACATTTTTTGTATCAAGATAGAGAAAGTAGACGGCCAAAAACTTTCTTTCCCACAAATATTTATATTGCGTAACGATTTTTTTATTTACTGTTGCCATTCTAGTTCGTCATAAGATGTATCATCATGTATAGTTACGTTGTATACTATACAAATTCAAATATTTGTTGAAAATACTGACATACTCTGATCTTAAAATTCTATATCACGCACTCGTGGCGAGTCATCTGAGCTATGGAATCGCTTGCTGGGGTGGAACATTCCATATACACCTTCGTCCACTTGAGGTGCTCCAAAACAGGTTCCTGAAATTGATGCTATCAAAACCACCACATTATTCAACAGAATCATTGTATTCCGAAGCTAAAGTTTTCGATATCCGCCAACTGTTTTACTATAATATTGTCATAGCTTATTACAAGAACAGATGTTTCACTCTTCCGACTCACTTATACAACACCTGTAAAAAAAAATAACCACGTTATTCCTCAAACGCAAAAATCAATTTTCCAGCATTCATACAATTACCTTGCTCCTAAGCTGTTCAATACTATTCCCGACAATATGCGCAGTGTCACAATTATTCATTTGTTCAAGAAAAAATTAAGATTATTCATATTATCTCAACCAAGAATTTTTTGCTGAACTTGTTGACAAAAAAAATATTTGAAATTTGTGTGTTATGTTTGTTATATACCTGAACCCATATGATGCATATGTTTGTATATACATCATTAACATCAATTCATTTAAGTATAAAGCAGTTTCATAATATAATGTATAATGCGCGTTATTATTTTTTGAATTTTTTTATAACAGTACCTATTATGAAATGAAAAATATCACCATTCTGATCGTTCACCTTCTAGGTTTACAATTTGGTCATTTTATAGCCCTAACATTATTTAAAAAAGGGTGTCTGTATGTATTTGTGTGTGTATGTGTTAAGTTTTCTTTTTTAGACGAAACAAGTGCTTCTGCACTTATTTCCATTTTACTTTATTCAACATAGCTATTATTTGTTTGTATGATTATAATTATTCTTTTTTATGAATAAAGTCATCATCATAACATTCATTACAGATTGTTCAATTCGTTGTTTCATAATATTGTCTGATTTCCACATTGTTGCTCCACTTTTTGCTGCATGTGATCAATGCATTATTTCACTTTTCTGACGCAATAGAAGATATCGCATTATAGATGTTTTTCATGTCAACAAATTTAAATGTAGTATTATGCTCTGCATTAGAACTTGGCAAGTCTTAAATATCAGATATCCTTGATGCTGTAGTTGGAATTTTTTTCAGTTTCCTAGAATGACACAGAGCATTGTCTGATATAACAATACAGTTATTATTAGGTTTCAGAAAAATATTTGCAAACCATTTTTTGAAAGATTTTTCCTTCGTTTCTTTGTGTTGATCTCAGTTTTTTTTAAATTTGAATTACAAGAAGTCGATTCTAGATAAAAAAAAGTTCTCAAGATACATCGACTCTCATAGAAACACAGAGAGCATCGAGCACAATGAGGCAATGTACACCCCAAAATTCATTTAGTGATGATAACGATGGGGAAATTTTGGAACTGTGTAGAGGAATTGGCATAAAGGTTGTTTCTCAAATATGGGGTACATATAATTCATAATACCATTTTGTTGTTTATTTTTGTACAGGTAACGTTATTATAATCATTACTCTTTTTCAATTAGGACGCTCATTATTTCACTCTGAACTGATTACACCGAAGGTGTTGCCAAATGTAACACACAAATTCATTGGACATGAGATATTGTCAATTAACTGAATTCGAGGGTAAATTTGTTATTTGTTTCTCTTTACTTCTCACTTTATTTTCATTGCAAAATAAATAATCAAATAAATGTTGTGAATATACTAGTCAATATACTAAAGTGTTACTATGATATATGTGGTATGGTTGAACTCTGAGAAATATAATAATATAATTAAATTAATAATTCATATATACCTATTCATTCATAAATATTCCATCATATTTCGATAAAAAAAAAATAGATGTCGCCATATCTTGTGAGTAGGCGAGGAAACTAAAATACGAATCGCCCTGTACAAGCTTTATTTCAAGCCCAATTTGTGAGACAATGGATTGTTTCAACACTTTATGAATGGACTATATACAAACTTACATACATATACATATAGATTTAGACTGAGCTTTATGGCTGATGGTTTGTTTGCCAATGATGTCGCCTTAAAGAACTTTTATCGGTGAACGATTTATCACAGTCTCTGCACTTGAATGTTTTCCCAGTATGCGTTACTAGATGTCTGCTCAGACCAGAAGCATGGCAAAAAACTTTGGGACACAGAGAGCAGTAGTGCAAAATTATTTCAGAAGCTCCGTTTGCAGAGTGAGTCCGCATGTGGGCTCGAAGAGGTTCTTTCTGCGTAAATCCCTTGTTGCATTGGGGACAGGAGTACGGTTTTTGGCCGGTGTGTGTCATCAGGTGCCTAAAGAGGATTTCCTTTTGAGCGAAACTCTTTTGGCATACTTCACACTGGAAAGGTCGTTCACCTGTATGGATACGTTCATGACGAACAAGAGCCGATCTTGTTGGAAACCACTTTTCGCATATACCACAGCTGAAACCTGAAAAAGTAATGTCATTTGAAACATTTCTATTTCTTTTGAAAACCAGATGTTTGAATTCCTCAAGGTTACTCATTGTTTTGAATCTGCTAGGTAGTTTATTGGATATGTTTAAACTGGTTCATATATTCTACACAAGGATTTTTTGTCGATCTAAGCTTATATTTAGGATACATATAGTGTCAAGTTTTTGTATGGTACACATTTTGTAATAAATTATCTGTAAAAAATGTTCAAATTCAAAGTTAACGATTTTTTTCTTTTCCAGTATCTGGACCGATTATTATTTTTAAAAACTAGTCGAGACACATAGACTAAAATAGTCTTCATACATCTGAGTCGATAGATGCTGAGACTTCGAATAACCTTCGTCCATGCAGTCAACGAACATACTACTGATGATGTCTGCTGCAGTAGCAGAAGAAACGTTTGATAGTACAAGTTCCATTCAAACACAGCCTACCAGACCGGATTTTGTTATAAAAATGGTTTTCGATATCAAAGATGAATATTTAAGTATTGACCCCTATTCAGTTTTCGATTGCTTAAATCATCATAGCGAAAGAATGAAGTTAATTAGAGGAGTGCCCCCAGGTTCCATATTGGACCTACTATTTCTCACATGTAATAATGATTCACCATATGCCATACTAAATATTGAAATTATGTTGCAGATGATCAAGCTTTCAGTAAAGCAGGTGAATTTGATTGCCCTCAGCAAAACTTAGAATATAATCTTAGAACAAATAAGGTCTGGTTTATAACAAATAAGTTAATATCAAATCTTCGAAATTATGGAGTCAAGGCTAAAAGTAGTCAAGTTCTAAGGTATTAATATTGAAAAAATTTAAGGTGGATAGATCATATCAATAACCTTTGCAATGGACTGAGAATGGCAACTTATGCAATAAGGATAATAAAAAAATCAAGAAAACCTCCAGTGAACCCGATGAAACTGGTTTGAAAAAATGGTTAACTTCAACATGGTAGTCAGTGTTTATTCTATTTTAACTTATGAAAAACTATGCATAAATCCTTTCTTTTGAAAAATTTGGGCGGAAGTGTAAGTGCCGAAATATTATTAAAGGCTTAGTTTTTTTTAGTTCAGTAAGTACAAAATAGAGGAACATAGTTGAAATGAGGGAGTAACATACTATTTTATATTATTAGTGTTTGAATTCATTTACTTGTTCAATTAAGTTCATGCATAGTATGATTTTCAAATTCTGACTAGGCAGTATTTTGTTTTGGTTCTCTTTTGCAATGAGCATACATTTTTTTATTTGTCATAAAAATCAAGGGACTACTCCTTAGACTTTTCTAAGGATATTTTGTCCTTTGGTGATTTTTAATAGGGCGCTTTGTTTCAAAGATACGGAGCGAAAAAGAATTGAAACAACAACAATATTGGTAATTTTAAAATTATTAACGTAGACGAAGTGAAAGTATAGCATACTACACTGGACCTAGCAAGTTAAAAAATCTAACAATTCCGTTGGTACCTATCAACAACGTTCGATTACAGTGGAAGATTTGAGAAATCGGATAGATAGATAGATAGATAGATAGATAGATAGATATATTTTCACCTCATTACATATATAAATACATTTATGGCATGTCAATATATTAATAGATAAAATGTAAAGTACACAATGAATAAAATTATACAATAAAACATATGATATTTTGAAAGTGTTACAAACATAATCAAGTGAGGCATAAATAAATAGCGTAAACAGAATGGAATATTTCAGAGAAGTGATGTGTTGAGTGCATGACTCAGTTGCTTTGTTGTGACGAGAAACTCGTCTGTGGAATAAAAGCAGTGTTCAAGAATATATTTTTTTGTGCTTTTTTTGAACTGATCAAAAGATGGTGATTTGATTCTCTCTAGCAAGCAGTTATATAGATTGATATTCAGAGAATTATGTTGAGATTTGGTTAATCTATACCTTGGAGTTTTTAATAACTTAGCATACCTAGTATTATTGTCATGTATATCTGACTGGGTTTGTAACTGGTTGATATTTCTGTGTATTTCTAATAAGGCATTGTAGATATATCATGAAGGTAAAGCCAAACTTTATAAAGTGTGGGTGACAATGTTCTCTATATCCAACTCCAGCTAAAATTCTTACTGCTTTTTTTTGTTGTCGAAAGATGGTTATTGCATGAGTGGCATTTCCCCATAAAATTATTCCATAGTTTATCTGCGAATGAAACAGAGAGAAATATGTCATTCTCAGAGTATCAGGTTGAATTGCTTTTTTTAACTGCCTCAAGAGAAATAGAGTACTGGCTAATTTGTTACAGAGCTCACATGTGATTCGACCATGTGAGTTTGTCATCAATAACAATTCCGAGTAGCTTGACAGTATTTCCCATTTGTAAGTTCATATTAAAGGAGAAGGTTATTTTTTGGGATTTGCTTGCGTTCAACTTAAGTTTGTTTGCAGTAAACCAATTTTCAGCACGTTTTTCAATGTTGTAAGAAGAAGAAGTGAGTTCCATAAGGTTTTTACCGGTACTCATCAAAGTAGTGTCGTCGGCGAATAGAACACTTTTATTGGGTAATAGGAAGTTGCATAGTTGATTTATATAAATTACAAATAAGAATGGCCCAAGCACTGTCCCCTGTGGGACACCATGTTTTATAGGTAGAAAGTCCGAGTTTCTTTGGTTGACAGTAACACATTGTTTTCTATTTTCTAAATATGAACTGAATAACTTCAATGCCACCCCTCTAATACCGTAATATTTGAGTTTTAAAATGAGTATCTCATGAGAGACACAGTCAAATGCCTTCGACAAGTCACAGAGTGTAATATCCGTGAGTACACCTTGTTCCAGACCCTCAACTATGCCTTCCAATATATTAAGAATTGCAAGAGTTGTAGAGCGATTTTGTCGAAACCCATACTGTGCATTATTCAAAAATTGATTTTTTTCAAAATATTTCACTAGTTTATTTTTCAGAATTATTTCGATGATTTTAGCAAATATGGAAATAATGGATATTGATCTATAATTGTCAATTTCTGTAATATCTCCCTTTTTATGAATAGGAATAACTCTGGTAAATTTGAAACTATCTGGAAAAATGCCTTCACTGAAGATCAAATTGATCATTGATGTTAATGGCGCAAGAATTAGATCTGATGTTTGTCTTATGATACGGCAATTTAAATCATGTGTATCTACTGATTTCGAATTTTTTAATGCATTAATTGCATCAAGAACCTCATAGCTTGTGACTCCCGTTAGGAAAAAAGAATTGCATGGCACAGGAAAATGTTTGTATTGGATCAAGTCGTCTGGTATATTGGGTAACTGGTTTATTATATTTTCAGCAACACTTGTGAAGTGAGCGTTGAAAGAGGTTTCACATATTGGAGTTTCAGGGTTACTTTTAGTTTTCCTATTTAACTCATAGTTTATAATTTGCCATCTAGCTTTTGATTTGTTTTCTGATGTACTGATATAATGTCCATATGAATTTCTTTTTGCTTCTTTCAATTCCTTCCTGTAGCTTTTCTTTAGTGAATTGTATGCCACCTTATCAGTAGGATTTTTCTTTGTATCACAGATACATTTTACTATTGAAAGTGTGTCCCTCTTCTCCTTCAAAGAATTATTGTACCATATAACTGGCGGTTTTTCTCCAATTTTATACTTTTTATATGGAAAGTGTACTCCCACATAATCAGCATAAGTATCAACCAGGAAATTTGCTAGAAAGTTGATACCTAAATTTGTATTTTAATTGCTGGGTGTAACACAATCAGAAAGGATCCTGTGGTTTTTGAAAGAGTTCGGGAGTCGATAAGGAGAAGATTGGATTCTTGCATCCGAGCAGGGGGTAGTCATTTTCAACAGTTCTTGTAGATTAAGAAACATTACATGTAATTTTTGGTAATGAATTGTAATTGTCGAAATTCTTTTTCGCTCCGTATCTTCGAAACAAAGCGCCCTATCAAAAATCATCAAAGGACAAGATATCTTTAAAATAGTCCAAGGAATAGTCCCTTACATTTTTGCCGCATGTTTAATAAACACCCTGTATTTTATTTTTTAAATATTAACGCAATGAAATATTTAAAATATATTTGATGTGATATGTAAATTAGTAGTTTGCAATTTTTTTATATATATTTTACTTCTATTGACATTGTTCAAGTGACCACACATCTTAAAATTGATACCCACTGAACTAAACTGTATTTTTAGTCTTTGGCTAAATGAAGGATTTATATAGTGTGTAAAAGCCAAAAGGAATAAATTCCTGAAACACGTCAAATGTAAATTATAATTTGACATCCTTCAAGGTAAAATGCCACCCCTACCTTCAACACCCTCCGAATGACAGGTACAACCCCCAATTTTTTAAATGGGAAATATAGGTTTGTAATATATCGTTTGAAAGGTCTCTTCATTCTCTATTCAAAAATTTTATCGCTTTCAAGTTTATTATAACAATTAGGATAAAATTAATTAAAATCATGTGGTTACCGAAATTCGATAAAATACACTCAAAAACTAAAATGTAATTCAAAACGTACTGAAATGTAGAATACGAAAAATAACTATGGATGTTAACGAAATAGATGTTTAAAATGTTCACAGCAAATGTCTTGGCAACATCCTAATCTCAAATAAAACTATCTTCTAACATTATTTAACCTAATCGCAAGCGTTATTCATTCTTTTAAGTCATTCAAATCTGAAGGTTTAGTTTTGTACACATTGCTCTTTACATACCCCCATTAAAAAAGAAATCTAATGATGAAAGATCAGGTGCTGGTCATTCAATTGATCCTCGCTTCCCTATCCACCGATTGGGAAATGTTGTATCGAGGTATTGCCGGACATTAACTTGGTAATGTGGTGGTGTTCCATCCTGCTGAAACCATATTATATTCACTGGAACTTGAGGGTTTCCTAGATCAGGAAATAAATTTGCTAAACTTGGAATGACATCATTTTGAAGTAGTGCCAAATAATTATGGCCTATCAAGTTGCCCTCAATGAAAAAGGGACCAATCATATGGTTTCCTAAAATCCCTGACCAAACATTGACCTTTTGGGGGTATTGCATGTGTTCTTCTCTCATCCAGTGAAGATTTTCCGTTGACCAATAGCGGTAATTTTGCCGATTAGCATGACCGTTAAGAGACAAAATACACTACTAATTGGATATTGTTATCCAACATGTTCATCAATTGCTCACAAAAATAAGTTCTTCTATCCAAATCATCTTCCATGAGCTCCTTTCATCCACATCCAGGCATCCACATGTAGTAGATGCCTGTCTACTCGAAGTATGTGGGTTTTCCTCAAACTCAATCATCACATCTATAGTCTATTTCAAAAGAGTGTAGAGTAATAAATCATGAAGTGTCATAAAATTTGCCTGAATTTCGTTGTCGTCCATGGGCGTAGGCAAATCTTAGGATTATTAAACTTAATAATTAAAGTAAATTAAAAATTACAGACATAGATAATAATAAAAGGCCATTTTTGGGAAGTAATTTGGTCTAAAACTAAGTACCTACATGTATTTAGGTAAGTAAAATTTCTTAAAAAAAGATTAAGATTAATTTTAGTGGTTCTTGTAAACTTATTTAATATGCAATTTGGGTTCATATACTTGAGCATGATTTCTCAAAAAAGGGTTAACACTTAGTTCCGAGGTGCCATGTCATTATAATAATCCCTTTTTGACCCTGCCCACCAATCATGCAATACCTATTAAACNTATTTAAATTGTTATTACCTATTATTCTAAAAAGTTTTTTGGGATTAATAAAATTATTATTATATATATCTACATGTTTAAACCATTCTGGAATCATTGTAAAATCATTTTTCCTTCTTCTAGTATTATTTCATCATTTTTGTTATTACTTTGTCATTAATTACTATATACATTAGTGATTATGTGAAATGAATATTTTATAATAATGTATGCATATTAGGGTGTTCCTAAAGGAATCAATAAATATTATTATTATATTATTTCAGAAATAATATGGCTGAAAATACATTTATTTTATTGGACCTACCTGAAGAAAACACTACAGGTGAACAATGGAAGAAACCTGTTTGTAATCCATTTGTTAGTGATATGTCTCCATCATACTTAATGAGATTTTATTACTCTACACTCTTTTGAAATAGACTATAATTTGAGTTCATCACTCATTGCATTGGCAGATGCTTTTTTTATCCACCCCACATGACCAAGCTCGCAAAACTGCTTCTCTATTTTGCTTATTGTTTCTTGAGATATGGGCGGTAAATTAGGAAATTTCTCATGAAATAGGCGAGCTACTTTCTGTTGTGTTCGGGTTTTATCTCCGTAACCAATCATTTGTAAAACTGATATTTTTATCTTTATTTTCATTTTGTATTTTTTCATTTTTATTTTTTGTTCAATTGTTTTATTTTTACTTGTATTTTATTTCACTATTATTTCATTTCCGGTTTTTTTTCTTAATAGCTAGTGAAATTGAACTTCAAACTTAAATTAAAATACTGACAACTAATGTAACATATAAAACAAGTTGACAAGGCATTTTAAACTAACGTTGCCACATTATGTAAAGTTTTTTGAAGGATATTATCTGAAAAAAACATTGCTAAGGTTTTGCTTACTTTTATATCATCAATACCTCAACATGAAATAAGTTTTGAGTATATTGCAATAAGTTTTGAGTGTATTTTATCAAATTTCGGCAACAACATGATTTTAATTTATTTTATTGTAATTGTTGCAATAAACTTGAAAGTGATCCACATACATTTATGACTCAATAGAATAGAAAAAATCCTTTTTATGTATTTCTCTAGATTTATCATTTGATACTCTCATACATGAATGTATATTGAATCATCATATTTAGACTGAGAAAATTCAAACATGTAGTAATACTTAATGGTGTACCATACTATAACGAAACTGTGAATTCTAAATCATGAAACTGCCACCAAACACCCATTCATAATGAACTTGTTGATCTCTCACCTTTTTGCTGCATATGAACTGAGGCGTGTCTTCTCAATTGAATTCTCCTAGAAAATGATTTTGGACATTCAGGACACTGAAAGATAGGTGCTTCGACATCTGAATTAATAACATCTTTTGGTTTTATGGCATCAGCAGCTTCCTCTGTCATCAGTTCCATCACAATCACAGATCCATCTTCTGTTGTGACTTCTACTTGGGTAGTCTTGCCATCGGATTGATTGACTTTTATATTGAGCTGGCCTTCAAAGTTCAATCCTGCAAATGGAAGGTTATTTCAGGAAATGATACTTATAAGTGTGCTGATGAGAAGACCCTCAGTTTTTAATTTTTTATAGCAATTTGTACTAGATTTTTCTCTTGGGTCATGCATATATGATAAAAAATGTGCTTCTGTCATTGCCATTTCATACCTAGAGAAAAATTTAAATATTACTAGTGTAAAATTACAGTTGTTTTAATTATTAGAATAATTTGAAATATATTAATTTAAAGTATTTCATTTGTAGTTTATTGAGCTGTAGTTTTCATTATTTGAATAATATCAACGACATAGAGAGAAAAACCCAATGAAAACAGTTTTTTTTTTCTTAAAAAACCAGTTGGTCTAAACCTTGGTTTAAACCATGGTTTCAAGCATGTTGGTTTAAACTTGCCAACCCTGAAGAGCAGGAAACTGAATCTCTTCTTTGAGCTGCCAGAAGTTAGAGTCAATAATGTAACTATAAACATATTTATAATATGTTTTCAAAAAAACTGCTAGCAAAATTTGACTTTTATCAAAAAACAAAAAAAAAAACTCCAAAATTCAAACAAAATTCAAAATATTTAGATCTATCATGGAGCCTCGTTTTCAAAACGGTTCAACTATTTTATTCTAACTAGATAGTTTTCATATGAAAACTTTACAGAGATTATTGAATAGGGCTCTGAGAATAATTTCAAGTAAGGATATAGGTATTTAGACTGTATCCAAAATAAAAAGAGAATGCATGGGATAGTTGTGATTAAGTTGGTTGAATTAGGGAAAAGTTACTAGTTTCAGAGTTTAGAGTTTATTTGAATACAGTTTTAAAATTTACTAATTGAAAGATTATGCTGGTACATCAGTGAAGTTGTCGCCAAAAAGGCTAAATTATATCAATAAATTGATGGATGTAGCCGTTACTATGTGGTAGGAGATCATGATGAAAAGAGAAATGAAAATTTCTATGTTTTTTACCACTTTTATTTGTAACTAACCCTACTGCAGTTTCGTCCTATATGGACATTTTCAAAGTTAAACATTGTTTTCAAAGTTAAACATTGTTTAAATTTGAAAATGTCCATATAGGACGAAACTGCAGTAACGTTAGTTACAAATAAAAGTGGTAAAAAACATAGAAATTTTCATTTCTCTTTTCACCATAAATTATATCAGTTGATCTATAAATGCCATCTTGTACAGCTTGAAAAGTAGGAATGATACAGTGTTTTTGCTTGTCGACATCTTCCCAAACATTGTACGAAAAAATAAAAAAAACGAAATTGACGAATTTCAGTTCATTCAAATATCTCCTGAACAAATTTGAATTTTCTAAATTTAGAGAATTTTAAACATGAGATTTTCATACATACACGACTGAGGAAGCTATTGTATAGTGAAACACATGTTGCAGTTTTGTAATCTGTTCAGTGAAAATATCACAGTGAAGTGTTACTTGAATACGTTATCGATTTTTATCAAGTATCGCCCATTTTTCTGAAACTAATTTCATTTTTAACTGCATATAACTGTTTTCTTAAGATGTGTCATGTGCTGTTTTATTTGAAAAATATACTCTTTCTCTTACTGTCATTTTATAATACTTTGTAGTCAGTAATAGTCCCTATTTATAAACAGTTATAGTTTCTTGTGACAATAAACTGTAACTAAATCGAATTATATGTTATTAAAATAGTTACCAGTCTGTGAAGCAAGTGTTGCTTTGACTGCAGTAGCAATGGCACTCATATTTGCTTCTTCGAGTGGGTTTCTATTATCAATTGTTTCTTCCATATAGATGCTCTCAGATTCTTCCTCGTTTTCAGTATCAATTTCCGTTTTCATCTGATGATTGGTTTTCAAAGTGCATGCTTCTTTGTCAATGGTCTCACTTTCTTTGGGTAAAGTTATGTTCTCCGGATCTGGGTCAGGCTCCTGGTCTTGCTGGAGATATGCAACTTTGGTCACTCCTATGAAAAAAGTAATGGAATGCTCTTAATCCTTTTTTATAACATGTTATATCCGTTATATAGTTGAAACAAGCACTATGAAGAATTTGAGAGCTAAGAAGTCTCAAAATGAGATATTTGTTTCATGTAAACTTTCCAGAGAACTACATGATCTTGAATACCAACAAAGGTTGAAAATCCTTGATCTTCCAACCCTGGACAGAGAAGATTGCGCAATGACCTAATTGAAATATAAAAGATGACGAACAACCTGTACAGTTTATCAGGGATTTGTGAAATCCTGAAAGTTGTTGAAAACGTAGACTGAGTAGTCATGACAGGAAAAAGAGGAAAAACAGACACCCACGAATGTGAGGACCACAAACAGAACAGTAAACATGTGGAACGGCCTCCCAACCATCTGTGTGATCCGACTCTGTTGGAGAGTTTAAAACCCGACTAGATTCATACCTGTATGCTCTGTGATATTGCTGTTATATTAATAAAACACTTTTTTATACCATTGTTACACTATTTCCAGTCTCACACTAGTTTTATTATAAACTGGAATTATAGAAATTATATCATTATATTAATGTAACAGTTGCTTAAAAGAGTATTATGTGCAAAGATTATAAGCTATGTATTTATTTATATATGTAAAATCGCCTCTCGAGCTGCTGCCATATCAATAAAATAAATAAAATAAATACAACAAAATGTAAAGCAACTAATTTTCTCAATTTTATAGTTGAAACTACTTTAAATCTATCATAAGATTATTCATATGCACAAATGTGTAATTAAAAAAAAATACTGAAATAACATCTTTAAAAAAAATATTTTATACTATCAGAATTTTTTGATAGATCATATATTACCTACTTCTTCCTTCGATATCCCTTGTTTTTCATTGTATTGACAACTCTTATACAATTTTATATAGTTTTTGTGGAAAAAAATATATTGTATTCAGAAATTATGAAGTCCGATAAGTTTTCTGCATGTATCTATGTATGTATATAAATTCTTCAGTGATGAATAAATAACTTCCAATTCTAATAGTAGCTTCAATGAACTGATCAATTAGGCACCAATAATGCTTCCATGCTTCCAAATTTAGAAGTCCATTGCTTGATTATCTAGTATTTGCAAATAAATGTATGGACTATAGGTTTTATGAGAAAATGTATTTTTTTTATAGTACTCATTGAAATGTACAAAATTTATTCCATATATATTTTGGATAGTATGGAGAGTATGGACACTCTCTGGTAACCTTCAATCATTTCTGCAATCTGTATCTTCTCATTCCACAACTTACTAACAAACGGAGTTTGTCACAATACTTGTACACCTTTACAAAGGAAAAAACACTCTGGGTGGAGATGGGAAACTTACATGATCATAGTGCAATGACAAAATTATATACATGAAATGTCTAAAATGGCGCTAAAAATGTAGATAGTATTATTTAATATTACTGTTTTTAAGTTCGTTTTTATTTCTTCTTTCAATTCTTATTATTTCATGTTATTGAATAAGGTAAATTAGTTGAATTTTTTACCTAACACAATTGATATTCAATTAATAATAATCTAGAGGCAGTCGAAGGTAACTTGTTAATTTCTCATAAGTTTTTTATGCAGTAAACGCTGAATTTACTAAACTTATTTCACCATCCCAAAATCTTTGACTGCAATTGCATCTGAAGGCAACCATAAGAGTATGTAGTAACAAAAATGTTTACTGCAAGGAACTTAGTGAACTATACTCTCTAAAAGTTGTAGTATAAAAATTACCAACTAAATCTTCTTCTGTGCTTGGTTCAACAGGATTATTCAGGATTTCATCCCCATTCTGACTCTCTATGTCCTCAATTTCCATTTGATTGTTTCCACCTTCTTTACAATATTCTTCCTCTGGAAGATCTTTCAAATGCAGTCTGAGTTTCAAATCTGAACTTTCACATTTTTTTCTGAAATTATATGATTTGCTGAGTTGATAGTTGCAAGGGCGACAAATTTTATCTGGAAGGCCATCTCCTTCAAAAACCTAAAAAGGAAAGAACATTGAAGTTTTGGAGTTTTTTATTAAAAAGCTTCTTTGCAGATGTTCCTTATGCAGTACGAAACAAAAATATGTTTTTCTGTTAACTATCTGTTGCCCCTCCACTAACGACAGAAGTTGAAACTTGTGCGAGCTGAGGATTAACGAGGTCTTACATTTTAAGGTGCAATTCCTAGAATTTTTAAAATGATCATTCAATAATCTTGTATTTTAAATATAGGATATTAAAATATAGAATATTTTCAAAGGAAAGTTTTGGAACTTTCATTATTTGTTGACATCTCGCTGATATTTCAGATTTTATGTTCCTCACCCCAAAAGAGGAAAATCGGAAAGAATACTTTGACTATGACTTGGTATGATGCTTTTTCGTTTTGTTCTCAAAGATAAAAATTAATATATTAACAACAAAAAATATATTCTGTAATATAGATTTGTAATATCAGGTTGATATAATTGAAAACAATATTTCACCCATTTTCCCTTTGTCAATGAAACTGAAATCTTGATTTGTTTTAATGAAAATTGAATATAGGTTCACTTAAGACATGTTACTCCATCTATATGAAGATTTAACAAACAAAAAGGAATCCTGGGAAGCAATATATTTTTCCAGTTCTTCAAATCAAAATGAAGATTCATAAGAAGGGTTTGATTAAATCGTTAACAATACAGAGTAAATCAGTCCAGACCTATGCTATCAAATTTCATTTCAAGCTGAAAATTATTTTTAAAGTGAATCCAGCAGAATGAAAGCACTCTTGCAATTATAAATCACCTCAAGTGCCACACAAGCCATAATTCGTAAGGTTAATGGAACCGGATCCTCATCTCCATAAATCGGAACTAATTCATCTTCTTTGGCCATGCAGAGTCTACAGATTTCATTCAAATCGATTATCACTTCTTGCTCGCCTGCTGTTTCTGCAGTTCCGGTTTTCTTTCTGCTGTAAGTTTTCATTTTTGTTATCTTCAAAATTGATAAACTAGGTAACTATTTTATTACACGAACTTGAATGTTCACTACTTTATCATTCGACAACGAACAAGCCCGAGTAGCTTCAACCTTCAACCACAGTGGAAAAAATTACAGAGGGCCAGGTTAGACAAGAAAGCCTAGTTGGCGACAAGGATAGACTATCACCTAGTTAAATGCACACCACAAAACAAAGTTTAGTTCTGTGTCATTTATTCCTACAGCAATTTCCCTTGGTAAATACAATGTATGACTATCCTTTATTAATCTTCCAACGAATGAAAGATATACGACTCTTGCTCTGGTTTCATCAATAAGAAGTAAACATTTGTTATAGTTTCTCTAGGATTTGGTATGTATTATATATTTTACTGAATTGATATTTTTTTATTATTAGTTCGGATATTTTTGATTGTGTATCATTTTGTGAGCATTTCATTGTAGTGAATAATGGAAAAAGAGAAAGAACATTGTGGATATCGTTGTTTCTACAAAAACTGTAGAAGTGTGTTACGGAATGATGAAACAGAGTCTGTGAAATTTCATAGGATTCCAAAAGAAAAAAGTATGCAAGTATAATTTACAGTGGTACAGATAGTGCTATAGAAAGAGGTTTTGGTCCCTGCAACTGGAATATTTTGAATACCTGATGTAGGCACCAAAAATCATCTTCAGGCAATGACTTCTACATCAAAACCTAATTTGAATATATGTAATGAAATTGAATGAAAATAAATTGGTGTAAGGCTAGAAACGAAATTAACTGAAAATGGTGAAAAAAGTGAATATAAATTCAAAATCTAGAAAAATGTATGTTACGAAATAAATGCAGTCTGTGGAACACGCAAAATACCAAAATACAGCAAGTTTTTCCCTATAAGCCTCTTTTTTAACTCATCACATCTTAACAGTCTATTGCCTTTTCATTTTAGAAACAGTCTGCCTAATGCACAAAAAGCACAAAGATAACATCTCAACTCAAAGTTAAGCTACTCGTCTCACATTCAATATTCCTGTTCCTATCCCGTCAACAGCATGTGCTCGAGAACTTCAGGAGAATAATACACTAATTCATGATTACAACAAAAAATTTAGGGTTTGTAACAAGCGCTTTTTGGATTCCATGTATACTAAGCATGTAATGATACATTTTCTTCTCGAAGCAATGCCAATAATATTTGTGGAACTTGTGGAACATTACACTTTCTGGTCCTACTCCTTATCAGAAATATTTGTCTAAGAATTTATGCATTCCTGTTGGTGTTTTAGAATTTGTGCACACCATCATTTTTAGATTTTTCTAACCTAATCTAAAAAATATTTGTAGCAGATCCTGATAAATTTTTTTGTTTTTCATTATTAATATATTTCTGATTATTCCATTTGGGAATGAACCCACGTTATTGTAAGTAATTTTTGCTTACATTCAAACCTAGTTTTCGATATTCGATTCCTTACATTTTATCATGAATGAAACTTTTAATTGAACTGTCTCGTGAAAATCTCTCAATAAAGTGTTACTTGAATTAGCCATTTTGAATGTTTTTTATAAAGAAAGTGTGATATGTCTCATAAGTATAACTTTCCAAAAAATATAAACAGCGTCATCACTGTATCTGAAAAATTAGGATTCGACCTGGCAACCTTGTCACACCCAGTTAGAGAGACGAGGTCACCGAAGCGGCAACCTTCAATTTCAAAGGAAAGGAGTGGAGCTGTATATCCGTTTCTGTATATTTTACTCATCTGTGCTTCAACTAATAAGGGGTCTTGCTTGCTGTCAGAATGTACAGTGTGCGCAGATTTCGACATTTTCGAGAATGTCAATATCTATTAGCGGGAAATTAAGATATTCAAACGAATACATTTCATAATTTTTTTTCTGTAATTTTCAGTAGCCTTAATGTGTTCTCAGCTTCATACGCAAATGAGGTGGATAATTAATTTTTCATAAGTTTATAGTGGAAGGAATAGATTCTTAACAAATTAAGTATTTTGGTATGTTTCATAAGGTATTATTTGTGAACTATGGCGATAGATGGTACTACAGTAGATGGTAATACAGTACTTGAGATAAATCATTTTTGTTGTTGCGGAATGATTGATATGAAAATCAAAACTTCACTATAGTTTCTATTGACTAAAAGATGGCCATCCAGCAGTTTAACTCAGAGAAAGATTTTATCTAATTTAATGTTGTATAATACACGTCGAAAGGATAATTCAGTTCTGATTCTTATAAATGTAAGGCGAATTCAACAGTACCATTGGCTCACAAAAATTCTCATTAAATATCGCTGAATAAACTAACATGGTTATATTACGTAAACTACAAATAGAATAACCCAAGTAGTAAATTTTTCATAAAGAATGGTGATTTTATTTTCTATTTATTTCCTAATTATTTTCTTGTGCGTCTGAAATTACGACAATATGAATACTGGTAACATGACCGGTCTATGCAAACAGTGAAATTAAACAGAACATATCTTTTACACAAGACATTTTCAAATGTAAAAGTTCTTCCTTGAAGTACTTTTCTCAGAGTAAAAAAACTAGAAAGGAAAGTGGTGTGTAAGGTAATTTTCCACAACAATTTTTTTTTGTATCTTTGGAAATACCCAAAGTAATTTCTAGTTTCACAATTTTTGATTGATGATTTGCAAAAACCCAAGTAAAAGGTTTGTATAGCACCCTTTCCTTCACTATGTACATCCAGTAAGTTAACAAAGTTCAACAAGTAAAGCTCCGACACGTCGATTTTGGTTTAGTAAGCTACATCATTGATTTAACTTTTTTGACAATTAATTGAAAATAAAACTAAACAAGTTTTGAAAATATGACCGATTTACTTACACAAATTAATATATACTTCGCTCAAATCAAGATGGAACATTCTGGCAGTATATTAAGTTGTTCGATTGATGACCTATTAATTTTATAGAAATTTATATCGAATATGGAATGAAGAAAATAACTTCTGATTTCTACAAAGTTTTTTATTTGTCACGACTGGTTTCGGTTCATTAAACCATTCTCAAGTAAACTCATATTAGGTTTCGACCTCAGCTATTCTTCGTTAGCAAATATCTTCAAAGAAATCGGACAAAATATTTATTTTTCAAGGGAACCCAAAAGAAAAAGGTACACATCGTAAACGTCAAATCTGGTTTACCTAAAATAAACAATGGTTTCAATGATGATTTCTTATTAGACAAAGTTTCGATATTGAGCATCAAATGGAGAATCGGATTTCATAATTCACTTATAGACAACTCTAATCAAGGTGCAGCATTTTCATTAATCATTCGCTAGCGTCAACTCTCAACCCATCTTTATTCAACTTTTCGGCAAGGTTGTTCTCGTTGAGGTCAGAAGAAAAAACTGTTTTTCTGTCACCTGGCGTCACGCCCTTACAAACGACAACTCTCAGAAATCGAAACTTGTGCGAGCTGAAGATTACCGAGGAATTACCTTTTACGTGCGAATCCCAATACAGGTCAAACGGTACGCAGTGGAAATCCAAAATCCTGCAACTCGAACCAACCTCTAAGTAGTGGTTGACTGAATGTGTAAAATAAACTACTCACTCTTAGCATTGGACTACCGACCGACCGATTCAATAGCAATCCGGGTATCGTAATGAAATATATAACATTCCATTTATTTTCCAACAGCGAAGGTATTCAGGTTTTGTTGTTAAAAATATAAATATTAATCGTAGTACCAATAATTATTATGTGGTTTATAATGATTCTGAAAACATGTATTTCAAAAATATCTGTCCTAAATGCTGATTTCAAATTATTATGAACAAGAATGAAAAATATTCCGTCATTCTGTGCTCGTAGATTCGTTTCGTATTACCGTACCGCTGGTGACGTCAAGATTCACAAAATAGTATCGCTTAATTCATCCTTTCGACGTGTAGGATTGTGACAAGGAAAACCAGCCAGTAAATAAATTTTCTTGCGACCAACAGATGGTGATATTTAAAAAATGGTCAAATCATAGTCTCCAAGCGGTCGATTCGAGAACTACTTGCAACTTTGCTGATTCTGACAATTTGATCACGATAGGTGGAATAGTGCGTGTAAAGGGTGTGTGCTATTAAAAGATCGCGTGTTTTACTTTATGTGATGGACAAAAGTGTAATAATCAAGAGTTGATAGTTTTCTGGTAAGTTACCTTTGCTTTTTGGCAGTTAAAACACTTTGTTTTGTGTACCATGAAATGGTGTCCAAAGACACGACGTACCGGCGATAACTTCCATAGCCTGGCTCTCATGTTATTGCTACATATAGTATCTGTTGAATTAATTGCTTCTTCAAAAGGTACATATCAGTTATTGAGTAGCCAATATGTTATTTATTGGTGACTAATGCATAGTTGCACAGGTAGATAATTCAATTAGGGCAATCACACAGGTCAAAAACATTCTTTCAAAGAACGGAAAACGACAATGGAAACGGTAATCAAAATAATATTCTAGAATGATTGTTGTTGTAGTTGCCTTGTCGCTGTAAGAATTAAACGACTCGATATGCTCTTTGACTTGGATATATATATATACTAATCAGGAATATAATTACTTACAAATTTTATATATTGGAGAAATTCCTTCATTCACATTCGTGTATCAACCTTAAAACATTGTTTATTAGTTCTTTTGTATTTTTTTCTGATGAAAATATGAAAACCTGTTGATTTGACGTATTTTTTCAGCGTGGATACCACTTAATTGGGAAAATCAAAATGCCGAAACAAGTAAGTACATTTTCCTTCCATTAATTTGAATATATTTGTGAAGAAAATGAGTAACCTAGATAATTGTGTTCGAAAATTGAGTCAAAACGTGGTGTACTGAGTTAATATGAATGGTAAAATTCCACTAGCTAGTTGGGTAAACATGCCTGGGACACCTGTTGCTTGCATATTATCTGGGTGAAAGTCTACGTGGTGAATACAAAAAGTTCAAAATAGATAAAAGATGTTCTCGATTGAGGTTTGTTCTATAGGTAATTGACTTAAATAGGGGAATTCCTACACCAGTTGTTATGTCGTCAGTTATACTAGTGACTGTCAAAAATTGCTGTCATTTTTACGGCAACTGCTGGTACTAATCTTCGATAATCCAAGACAGGTTCATGAAAAACACTTGCTATGAAATAGTAGAAACTTTCTTCAATTACAAATTTATCTTTAAGAAGGAGCCTACGAATTGTTTTTTCCACAAATTTATATGATTAATTGTTGTTTTGCAAAAAATGTTCCTAATTATGATTAGTTGCAAATGAATTGTTCGATGTAAATCATAAACGTGACTGGAAATTTTTAAATTGAGGACTCATTGAGGTTAGATATTGTATCTTTAAGTTATTTGAGTCGACCTTTAAGGTACATAAACAAGGTACATTATCAGAGGCGATGTGGTAACGGTCGCAGTTCCCGAACTGGTGCTCCCGTTGTTCCGTTAGCATGCCCTCAACAAAGAAGGCAACCACATTATCTCATTCTAAGATACAGTAACACCCGATGAAACTCAAAATTAATGTCCAAGAATATATAGAGGGGCACTAGAAATCCAAAAACACAGATAATTCCAACAGAAAAGAAGAGGCAATGAACATCAATAAAGTTTGGCTACCCGTGTTAGGAATCACACGTTAAAAGGTAAGACCTCGTTAGTCCTTAGCTCGCAGTAGTTTCTCAACTTCTGAGAGTTGTCGTTCGTATGGGGGCGACAACTGATTTACGGAAAAACAGATTTTAAACAGATTTTTTAAACCTGTCCTTAGAGGTACAAAAACAAGGTTAGGTAATCCATTCAAGTGAATCCAAGCCACGCCACTAATATTAATATAAAATCAGAGTAAAATACTAGCAACATGGTAAATTCTTTCGGAACAATAGGATTACCAACTTGAGCACTGCGACCGTTACCTGCATCGCCTTTGATAATATCTACCGCAATTGTAGACGAAATGCCACTGTTTAACTGTTTCTTTCAATACAATAAGAGCCAATGTAGACATCATCGTCCAGCTAGACTCTATCTTAATTTCAGTCTTATTTTCAGCCTCAAGGAAAAAGTCGATTTGTGTATTTCCATAAAAGCATTCTGTCTGTGACCCAGCTTTTGTTCTTAGTGACCTTGAAAATTCCCGAATTTAAATAAAGTTTTAGCATTAAGTAATGTGAATGCCCATTGTCTTCGGAATACATGTACTTCTTGTGATGGCCTACAAAATACTGGTTAATAGGTTAATTCAGTTCAGTTGGCTGTTGACAACTGACGTTTGAGTTGTCAAAGGCATATTCGAAAGATTTGAAGTAGGTTAGGTTAGGTCCAAAGTCAGTAGGTCTACTCTGTTCCTCTACCGCAACCCGCAAGGATTAATTGTGGCTCACATCTTTTCACACTCGACCAAATAAACCCATCATCTTAACGAAGCCGATTAGTTTGTATGGTGATCAGTCTTTCAGGTCAGATGGTACGAATACAACTCTGCCGAACTCTAAAAACCTGATTCGGTCCCCAGCGGGGCAGGCACAAAGTATGTGCTCTGCTGTTTAATCATTTTTCAAACAGAGGCGACACACACTGTCTTCCGACAGTCCGAGTCTCTGCAATGATGATTCAAAAGACAGTGACTTGTAAGAAGGCCTGTTAGACATCGTAGTTCATCCTGACTGTAGTCCAACAACTGTTTGGTATCAAGCTTCCAATCCTGGAAGATTCTGCCAGAAGTCCATAAATTTTCTTGCCTTCCAGGTGTTCAATCTTTGTTTGGCAAAGCCTAAAGCGATGCCAATGACAGGTTCTGGTCCGATGAAGCTGCTTGCAGCACCCTCCTTTGCAAGGGAGTCAGCAGCAAGAGTTTCCAACGCCGCTCGACTGTAAGAGAAATTTTTTTTAACTTGTGTGTGAGGTTGGATTCTTCCAATCTCTCCTCACACAATTCAATAACGTTAATTTCCGCTTGAAATACAGTCGCATAGGTTCCTAGGCAGGTTGATATCTCTGTCCTGGGTCTGAGACTGAAAACACCTGCACCAGAACCCGAAGGTGTTTTTGATCCATCTGTGGACCAACAACTATTTGCTCTTAAAATTTCCATCTCCCGGCTCTCTACTAGGGAACAGTAGGTACTTTATAAGACAGTTCGTAGTTGACAGATGGAGGCATAAAGTCAGAGGTCGTTTCCAGAATGCTATGACTTCCAGTGTCAACCAACAGTTTGTTGCACTCTGCATTAAATTGATTTGTGCAATTGACAATGTGCACAAGTCTATATGCAGTCCATCTAGCCTCTCTCTCTAGAAAAATGTGGAGAGGAGGTAGATATGTAAGGATCTCCATGGCCGCTGGCGGTGTGGTACTGATGGCACCACTGATGGCCAAACAAGTGTCTGTCTCTGTAAGCCAGAGACTTTCGCCTGGCTGTTTTCTATAAAGCCTTCGGCCACCAGGCAATTGCACCTTAAGTGATCATTGGTCTGACAATCATCACATAAATCCAATAGATATGTTTGGGACCTAAATCCCAAATTTTACCACAAATCCTTCGACATGTCCATAGGGACAGCCTGGCTTTGTGTGAAACTTTTTCCATGTTCCATGTGAGCGTTCCAGGTGAATTTCTTATCAAGGACAATGCCAAGATTTCACCTACGTTCCAAATGGAATGACCTCACCATTGAGGGAAAGTGGCGTTAGATCGTCCAATGTTCTCCTCCTGGTGAAGGGGATTATCACAGTTTTGCTGGGGTTGACAGACATCTGCTCCCTCAACATTTGAAGTATATTCTGTTTGAATATTACGGGAGTTTTATTCCAACACCAAACCGTTATTTTTAATACCTCGACACGTGTTTCGATCACCAAGTGATCATCTTCAAGAAGAAGATTAAAGTGTATTCTCTTCCTCTTGAAGATGATCACTTGGAGATCGAAACACATGCCGAGGTTTAAAAAATAACGGTTTGGTGTTGGGTTAAAACTCCAGTAATATTCATTACTACACCAAACGTTCCAAACGGTGCATCACAAGTATGTTCTGTTTGATCAATCATTGTGGATGTCTACCAAAATTGTGTTTCAATGAATAAAAGGTACTTTAATAGATTTAGTGACTGAAAAGCACAACAAAGGCATCATAAACTATCCAACCCAAAACTATATGCCAATATGATGGAAAATTCAATCCTCATAAATGTTTGCGTGGCGTAGCCACTAAATTTTGAATCCATTCCAGGTTCAAATTTATTCAGAAATACTCTCAAGTAAACACACAAGGTAACAAGCCTCAAAGCCTTCTGACGTCACTATATTTGCTCGCTAAATTAAGTATAAATAGTTATTTTTCACCCATAAAAATATTTGCCTTTGTCCTAATTTGTTCGAAAATTAATGCATTTGGTTGGATGAGACTTGTACTGTGACTGGTTTGTTGTTAGACCTGCTTATTCACTTGACTTGAATCCTCGAGATTTTTTCTTCGACTTTGTTTTCCTCAACCTACTATTGGAATATCAGATGATGATTAGAAAATGAGTTGTTCTGCAAATGAGGATTCACATGACTTCAATTTCCATTTGATTTTTTCTGTATATAATTCACATTTATGACGTTTTCTCGTTAAACAGGAGCAATAACAGTGAAATTTTAGACGATTTCCATATTTACTTTCAAACTGTTATATAATGTTCTATTAAAAAAATACTAATCAATTTTTTCACATTGAAAATTTGAGGTTTCAAATCCCTTGAAACTGAGTCGAAAAAAATTGCCATGTCAATCAAAAAATCGAAACAGTGGAATAACTGATAAGTAAATCTCATTGTCGTTGATTGATAAGAAAAATACTGATAGCAGACATAATAAAAATCATTTTGTATTCTATATTAGGCTTTTTCTTCCCGTTATTATGACGTCAGCAGGTGATATGTCAGTTGCAGTTCATATCTATAATACGAGTAAGTCATCTCTATTTTTTTTTTAATTATCACAAGTGTGGAATGTTGATTACGAGTGTGAAGTTATCCACATCCACCAAGTTCACTGAGAAAAAAATGTTGAATTATTATTTCCTCATTCAACGACTATAAGTACACCTACCATTTTTTAATGATACGCTTGTTGACTGACTATAAAATTGAGATATCTATTTCTGATGACTGAATCGACAAGAAAAAACATCACGTCATAGTTTTCCAGACCGTCTTAGAGGGTGGAAATTAGGTGAAAATTTAAAAAATCGTATAATCGAAAATTGAATGTATACATCTACAAAATTTAGGTATACTGGGTGATTTTCTATTGAAGATAGAAAAACCAAATTTGGGGTTGTGTATTATAGTCCAATTAACATGTTTATACGATAGTACATGAGAATTAAACTTAATAATAGAAATTAAGACTACCTAATGAAAGTGCTCCTTTTATGCAAGTACAGGCGCAAAATAACCACGATTATTCATCATTTATAATTATTGAAAATAGTTCCATATAAACAAAAAAATTCTCAATACTTTTCCATCAATTTTTCAGATTTTTATAATAGATAGAAATTTGAACAATCATTTTGAAACTTCTCTACTCAATGAACACTGTAAATATTTCAATTTAGTGCATACTCATTTTTGTTTTTTGAATAAAGCTATAATTTAAAGACCAAAGTTATTAGTTCAGTATTGGCCAACTTTCTAGGCATTCCGCATGATTCATAATTTTAATTGAGACTCCATAATCGTTCTCTTTGATT